GTACTTAACAAACACACATATGTATATGCCATCGAGCCAGTTCCAACCTAGAGCAACCTTGTATGGGGTTTCCAAAGAGCTGCTGGTGGAGCTGAACTGCCGACCTTGTAGTTTACAATCCAGTACTGATCCTACAGTGCCACAACAGGAACCCATATCCACGCACACACATATCACATACATACACACATAGAAGTCCTGGTGTGGCACTGTAGGATCAGCACTGGGATCATAAAGTTGGTTGTTGTTAAGTGCAGTTGAGTTGGTTCCAGCTCATAGCGATCCTGTGTAGAGTTTCCAACCTTGCAGTTAGCAGCAGTCCAGTGCTGATCCTACAGTGGCACACGAGGGCTCCTTGTAAGTTTTCTTTTCTCAATTCCTTAACAGTCTTCATATGGCATGGCATCTATCTTCCCCAATCTATACTTACTTACTTCTGCCTACTCTGGTCTTTTATAGCCTCAAAAAGTTACTAGCATTGGATTTTAGAGCCAAGATTATGTTGTTGGGTGCCATCAAGTCAATTTGGAGTCATAAAGATGCCAAAAACTGCCCCAAAGGTTTTCCCGACAGTAGTCTTTATGGGAACACATCACCAGGTCTTCCTCCTGCAGAGATGCTGAGTAGATCAGACTGTCAAGGTGTCAGCTAGCAGCTGAGCACTTCACTGTGGCACTAGTAATGTTTTTCAAATAGTACATATAGTTAATATTAAGCACTTACTATGAGTCGGAACCGACTCCATGGCACATAACCACCACCACCATAGCATCTTTTCCTTTCCTATAGAAACTTAAAAGTCAAACTCCAAAGATAACTTTATAGTGTTATTATATTTTTGCTAATTTGTTTTAATAAATTAGCTATAAATTTTAACTATTTTTAAAGGTCAGCAGTTCGAAACTACCAGCAGTTCCACGGGAGAAAGATGAGGCGGTCTGCTCCCGTGAAGATTTATAGCCTCGGAAACCCTATGTAGGGTCGCTATGAGTCAGAATCGACTCCACAGCACAAAACAACAACAACAACATTTTAAAATTAATTCTAAACCATGACTTTCTATGAAATTAGTTATAAACAGCTATTAGTAACTACTTTTTGTTGTTGTTAAGTGTCATCGAGCAGGTTCCGACTCATAGCAATCCTGTGCAAGGTTTCAGAGGAGCTGCTGGTACGTTTGAACCTCCAATCCTGTGGTTAGCAGTCCAGTGCTTATCCTACAAAGCAGCGCCAAGAGTCTAAGTTATTAAAATCTGTTCTTTTATTTTACACAATCTCATATCCTGAAAAGGACAATTTAAAAACAACACAATATAAAATGCCTTTTTCTAATTCACTTAGGCTTTGCGCTTGTTAAATGTCGTTCTCTGGACCGATATTTCATTCTAAAGCATTCGTGCATGATTTAAATCAGCAGTGACAAACTCTCAAGGTCAGTTCCACAGCCCCAACATACCTAAGTTCATCCATTTCCCTCTTCTTCTTCATTTCTTCTTTCTCTTTCTTTTTCATTTCCTGAATTTGGGCTTTCTTTTCATTTCTCTCTTCACGGTCTCTGCATTCTTTCTCTGCTGCGAGGTCTGGGAACCTCTCCATTTTGGTCTTTTCTAATCGGTTCAATATTTCATTCACTTTCTTCTCCACTGTCACAATTTTTACCTTTGAGGGAAATAGAGAAATATTGAACTTTTACTATAGGGTGGGGTTTTTTTTTCTCCCCCAGAATGGGAGAGCCTTTCCAGGGTCTCAGTAGCCAGCAACCCAGTTTAACTCCCTTAAGAAAAATATATCATGCTTGGCCCTCAACAACAACGGTGGTAGACAGAGAAGATGGATACTGCACTCAGCCTCAGGAATCCATCCCTTCAGCGGAATAAAACACTTACATCCTTTTGCCTGTGAAAGCCTATCTGTCCCACATCCATGTCAGCTGTTTTCTTCAGGTTAGACCACGGAGTATATACCACATTAACGTTGTTCATCTTGCAGCCTGCCAAGAGAGACTGTCTTCAACATGCAGGCAGGGGGTGAGACTGAGCAATAACTTCCCTTACCCACTGGTAAATTACCATAATCCAATAAAGGAGCAGCTTAGCATGAGCAAGCCATAAATAGTTACAAACTACAAAATACTTTTTAAAAGTCACCCACAGAAGGTAAATGGTAAAACTGACACACTGAACAAAATTCAAACAAAAGTACAGACCAGTCCCCGGGTTATGAACGTCAACTTACATACAAACCCCACAGTTATGAGCCAACCCCTGTAAAGTCCATTATATTAAAATTTTAAGATCCATATACAAGGAGCTCTGGTAGCATAGTGGTTACAAATCGGGCTGCGGACTGCAAGGTCAGCAGTTTGAAACTACCAGCTGCTCCGCAGGAGAAAGATGAGGCTTTCTGCTCTTGTAAAGATTTACAGCCTCAGAAACCCTGTTTAGGGTCGCTATGGGTCGGAACCGACTCAATGGCACTTAACAACAACAACAACATAGTGGTTTATAGTACAATACAGGTGCTATTTTGGAAAATGCATCAAAACTGTTTTATTACTATGTCATTATATTAAAGATGATTTCAGGTATCTGGAAGTGTTTCTTTAATGTTTTTATGCATAGAAAGGAATACTATATACTAACACAAACATCTGACGAACTGATGATAGATACAAACTCTAGCTAATTGTTCCGACTTAGGCACAAAGTCGACTTAAAGACAGACTTAGGAACAGAACATGTATGTAATCAGGGGATTTCCTGTATTGCGATAGAAAGCAGAAGTCCATGAGTTAGCTTCAGGGACTCCTGAAATATCCCTAAAACTGTGCAAAAATTGTTATTATGGAGGGGACTGCCGGTAAGATGATGGACCAGGCAGGCGCACTACATGGACCCTCTACAATGAAGAGTCGAGAAGACAAAATAAAACAGACACAGATGAAAATTCTGGCACCCTGAATTTCAAAAAAGGTTAGACAGGTGGATGGAGAGCTTGTTTGGAGGAAAGGCCAAGGAGGGACGTCAATAGAGGAAGACTGACTAGTGAACGGATGACCAGACATGGCTCAACCATGTTGGAGCAGCTTTGGCAGTGCAGGAACGATAGAAAAGATGTGATTTCTTCTTTTTCCCCAAGCTCCACTGGTGATCAGAATGTAGTCATCTCCCACCCTCATTTACCCCCAGCACAGACCCTGCTCTCTGGGAGTTGGGAGCCATACCATTGTGAAGTGCAGGCCAGCTGTGCCAATTTGGTACCTGCATTCAGGTGGGTTTAGCTTCAGACCTAAAAAACCCACAAAGCCACCAGACCACCATTTAACCAGTCACCCTCCTCCCAGCTTCTCTGTGGTCCTAGCACACAGACCACTGAAACCAGTTTCATCAAGGATCCCAATGAACTACTTCCAGATTAAGTGCTAACAGGAACTCCATCTAGGGCCAGGAATTCTGCTGTCACATCCCTTCCACAACCAATACATGAGCTTCTTGAAATTACAGGAGACCACCAGAGATTTCTCCCCTCCAGGTCCAACAACTGCACTGTTTGGTTGTACAAATATGACAATACCACAAAGACCTGGAGGCAACAGACAATTTTAGCTCACATGAAGGAACAAGAAAGAATGGCTCAAACAAATGACCAAGGTGCAGAGCCCAAAAACAATTCTGAAAAAGAAAGAGTAATAGGACAAACTTAAATAGAATTCAAAAGAATAATGATTAGATACTTTCAAAGGATAGACAGAATGATCAACGAAAGCAAGAAAAAAACAATAAAAACTTCAGAAAATTCAGAAAACACTACAAGAATAGACAGACACATGCAAATGCTGAAACAATACAAAACCTGTAGTTAGAAATCCAGAAGACTAATACTAAGATCTCAGAAATGGATAGTACATTGAAAGGGCAAAGAAGTAGATGTGAAGCAGTGGACACCCAAATTAGCGAGCTTGAAGCGAAATCTCTCAATACTAGTATGTTAGAAGAACAATCAGAAAATATCCAAAGAAAGCCTACGAGTTATGTGGGACACAACGAAGAGGAGCAACTTAAGGGTGATCAGGATTCCATAACAGGAAGAAACAAGCACAAAGAAAATGGTCAGAGTTGTTGAACGTCACTAATATTATCAAAGACAAAAAGATAAGCATATAAGAAGCTGAACAAACTCTAAACAGGATAGATCCCAAAAGAAAATCACCAAGACACATCATAATTAAACTTTCCAAAATCAAAGGCCAAGTTAAGAATCCTAAGCAGCTTGGGAAAAAGGAAAAATTACCTACAAAGGAGAGCTAATATGGCTAAACTCTAGTTTCTCAGCAGAAACCAAGCAGGCAAGAAGGCAATGGGATGACATATACAAAACTGGGGAAAAAAAAATTCCAACGAAGAATCATACCCAGCAAAGCTGTCCCTCAAATACATTGGCGAAATTAGGACATTTTCTGACAAAAAGAAATTAAAGGAATTTGTAATAATCAGACTAACTTCACAAAAAACTAAATGGTATTCTTTGGACTGAGAACCTACAACAGCAGACAACCACCTGTGATTACCATACATGCCAACACCACCAGAACTCAATCCAGATATAGAAGTATTTAAAATAAAACAAACTAGAAGGCTAAATATAGGGAACCAGAGATATCAATGTAGAACAACGTCAACTACAAAGCAAACAGAGAAAATAGTGTAGATACAGAACTTCAAGACAAAACAGGCTGTTGTAATCAAGGAAAAAAATTAATAAATTATGGAATAACCTCAAAGAAAAAGATCATCAAAATAAACAAGAGGAAAATTAAAAAGATTTACAAACATTAACACAACAGAAATTAAAAGAAAACTCACAAACAAAATAAACTCAGCATAGAAAATTATGTGGACCAAAGAATCCAGCAGCACCACACACACATAAAAATACAGAAAATGACAATTCATGCCTATTGATAATTACATTGCATGTAAATGGATTAAATTTACCAGTCAAGCGACGTAAAAAACAGAATGGTAAGAAAACAGGATCCTTCAATATGCTGTCTACAAGAGACATATCAAAAAGATGGAGATAGCTTAAGTGCCCATCAACAGAAGAATGGTTAAACTTTGGTATGTACACAATGGAATACTAGAAAACACTGAAGAATAATGATGAATCTATGAAACACTTCACATCATGGATGAACCTGGAGAACATTATGCTGAGTTAAATTAGTCAACCACAAAAGGTCAAACACTGTATTGAGACCAATGGTGAAAAAAGTTCAAGAAAAGTTTTCTTGATAAAAGAACAATTTATGATGATTGGGGGGCAGGAAGAGACAGGGAAAATTATTCATGGACTGGAGGGTAGACACATGTTAACATGAATGACAGGGCAGGCAATATACAACAAGAGGGAGGTTAGCAGAGGAAAGATCAAGATAGCGGGAGACCCAGGAAGGAATGCAACAGTTAAGAGTGAATAGAGGTAAACACTGTTAACTGTTGGTACATGAAGGAGATTGCAAGCATGTAATGAAGCAAAGTATGAGGTATGTTGAATGTAAAACTGATGATATGATCTGTAATCCTTCTCTCAATTCACATTTAAACGTTATGTTGTTGTTTTTTTAACTTGTTATTTTGTGCATTTTTAAAGAGGAAAGAGTCCTAACAGGTTTCACGAAATCACTGAGTCAATAAAGGTTAACCTCGGAAGTCATGAGTTCTGGTCTCTATCCTGACACTACCACAAACTAGCTGTGCCACTTTGGAAAAGTGTCCATCTGAAACTTGAACAAATTGACAAGCTTGGTAGAGCTCTCGTTTACAGTTTCTTTTGGCAGTGGAATTCTTTTATCAAAGAAGATACAGAAAGCTAATTAAAGTAAGATGCCCTGAAAGGTGTCAAGAACCCCATCCATTCCTCCTCTATCCCTTCATCACACCACCTTTTTCGCCTCCATCTCTAGCAACCTCCCAGGCAGTTCCAAGGATCAGAGTCACTGGTCCAATGCTCTCTAAGGCCCTTTCTATTAAATGGCAACATATTTGCCATATACAAATGTTTCCTAAATCGCCATGTATACTAGAAAAACTGGTGATTATCACTTTATCTAAGCGATCAAATGAGCATCACCAAAAATAGAACAAAGTGGCATGTGCCTCTGATTGCAAAGGATAAACTTCACTTTATGTAGCATTCTGCCAAAAAAGCAGACAATACAAGTCCAAATAAAAGGATGCATCAGACAAATCAAAGTTGAGAGACATTCTTCAACTGGTGTTCTTTGTAAGAGTGTCAATGTCACAAAAGACAGAGAATTTACCTGCAGATTAAAGGCGACTAAAGAGACATGCCTGAGTCCTGGTGTGGCACTGTGGGTTAATGCATCAGACTGCAAAGCCATTTGAACTGCAAGGTCAGCAGTTCAAGCTCACCAGCTACTCCTTGGAAACCCTATGCAGGGTCACTATGGGTCAGAACCGACTCTATGGCACTTCACAACAACAACAACAACAACAAAGAGACATGTCAAGTAAACACAACACATGATCCTGAGTCAGAAGAATAATGCTACAAAGGGACAGTACTGGGACAACTGGCAAAGCTTAGTTATGGGCTGCACGTCAGATACTAGCATTTTATCCATATTAAATCAGGAATTTTGTCATTGTAATATAGATAGAAAAGGTCCCTGTTCTTATGAGACATGTGCTAATGAGTGAAATGTCAGGATACCTATAACTTTCTTTCAAATGGTTCAGCTAGTAACGCTAATGAGTATGCCAGATTAATATTGAGAAAACAAATACAAAAGTTTTTAATTGGTGAATCTAAGTGAAGGACACATGGGAGTTCACTGTTTTATTTATTTTTGTTTTTGCAACTTTTCTGTAGGTTTGAACATGTTTACAATAAAATGTTTTTAAAATCTCCGTGAGTAAGGCATTGTGGGAGATACAAACAGAGATCAGATAATGGATCCTGCCTTCCAAGGCTCTCAAGGAGAGATAAATACATAATGTAACTTCAAGTAAAGGTAGAACTAATGAAATGATACTGAAAGTGAAATGATATTGACAATCATAGGTAAAAAGTGTTAAGGTAGTACAGAGAAGGAAGAAGTAAATAATATACCTCCTTAAGTAACACTGAAGACTCTAGAGTCAAGACTGTCTGACTTCAAATCCAAGTTCTACAGCAATTCTGAGTTCTGAGTTCTGAGTCCTGTGACAAGTTAATTTACAGCTCGCTAATCTCAATTTCCTCATCTATGCAATGAAAGTGATAAATAACATTAAGATTGACAAATGAAGTTCTTTGTAAATTTCTAGTATAATGTCAGTATAACTGTTACTTGGGAGCCCTGTTGTGGTACTGTGAGATAATGCACTGAATGGCAAGGTAAGCTTGAACCAGTTTGAAGGTCGGTGGTTCAAATACACCAGCTGCTCCTAGGACCCTATATAGGGTCACTATGAGTCGGAACTGACTCAATGGCACTTAAAAGCAACTATTATTGCTATACCGACCATGCAGACTTCGAGACTTAGCTTAGATCTGGACATGTGGTGAACTGAGGAGGAAAACACAATTGCGAGCAAAGAGAATACAAGCACATACATGTTAGGAAAGCAGCAAATGTTCACTCTGGCTGAATCGTGAAACATGTGAAGGGGAAAAGGAGTCTACAGTCAGATCATAACTCCTTGCCTCCCCACCCCCCCCCAAAAAAAAGAAAAACCCACACTCACTGCCATCGAGTCAATCTGGACTCACAGTGAACCTACAGGGCAGAGTAGACCTACTCTACAGGGTTCCCAAGGGTGTGGTGCTACAGGATAAGCACTGGACCGCTAACCAGAAGGTTGGCAATTCAAACCCACCAGCTGTTCCTCTGAACCATATACAGGGTTGCCAACTCAACGGCACTTAACAACAACAAAACAATCTTCATGGAACGAAACTGCCACATTTTTCTCCTGTGGAGATGCTGGTAGATTTGAACCATCAACTTTTCAGTTAGCTGCCTAATGGACTCGTAGTCAGATTACAGCAATACCCATTTGATCTAGCTTGGATGGCTAGTTGACCAGAACTCACACCCAAGAAAATAAAAGGTTTAATACTGAAAACAAGTGCAAATTGCTACAATTTGACAAACCAGACTTTTGCCTAAGAATGCAATGACTCAAAATTCCAACCAGAATGGAAGGAGTATTTGTATTGAGGAACAACCTTGTTTCCTCAGTGCACTCACTGGGTTGATAGGGATAAGAAATTTAGACTGGCTATCAAAAATGGGGTGGTGGTGGTGGGGAGGGGGGTGCCTACAAAAGCATGAAATGGCAGACTTACAAGGTATCATGAGTGTGCCTAGTTTCAAAATCAGGGGGGTAAAGTAGAATCCCCACTGAAAAATGCCCCTTCTTTCCCAGATGGATCTGGTGAGAGGGGATGGGCAACAACTGTGAAAGGATTTTATGACTCAATTATGAATAACTATTAATTGCAATCGTCACAACTGAAATTATAGAATATGTGTAACTAAAAGGGGAAGGTAGTTAATCTTTCTTTTTAGGAACAGATGATCCCAGGATCATAAGAAGGAAGAGCATGAGTAGAGCCTGAGACCCCTACCTAGAAAGCAGCAACAGCGGAGACGGTGGCTGTGTGCCTGCAGTCAGGACAGGAGGCTGGCTGGCAGAATGTGCCCTTTGGACATTTAAATGAATATATATACTTTTTTGTTTTGTAAGTGGACAGCAAATATTTTTGCCTTGTTCATTTGTGAAATATGTCAATGGGGATCCACGGGGAATAAATAGGATAAATGTTGTTGCAGGGAGGGGATTGTAATCATTGAGATGAAACAATAAGAGTAAAACTATGTAAGGGAAGAAAGGGGTAGGAGGGGAGCTAAGAGTGGCTTGGAGACTTGAGAGCTATAATGACAAATTATGGAAATAAAGACATTAAGCAGAATTAAATATAAAGCCATGAAAACAAATGTCTCTTGCTTCCCTATTAATATAAGCTACTTTCCCAAAGTCTTTGTACCAACAACTTTATTTACAAGGGGATCTAGACAACCTTCTATTCAAGGTATGAAAAAAACAAGTTAAACGCTGAGACTCAGATTTTAAAAATAAACACAAAAACTCATGGTGACTCTATGTAGGGTGGTTTCCAAGACTGTACATCTTTACAGAAGGAGACAGCCTCATCTTTCTCCCACGGAGCGGCTGGTGAGTTTGAACTGCCAACCTTGTGATTAGCAGTGCAGTGCTTACCCTATAGCACCACCAGGGTTCTTTGAGGGACATGAAAATTGAGAGTGGAGGTGAATTTGACAAGTACCAAAATTGCCATTTTAAAGGTCAAAATAAGGGAAAGGCATACTACATGTTATTTTTTTTTCACTTACAACAAAGTCAGTAACCTAAACTCTAAAATATACATTATCCGAGATGCAGAGAAAGTTAGGTAAAATGCTAAAAACCCCTCTAGAAGACTGACCTTGAATACTATTGGCCTTTACAAGGTGGGCACAGTCCAGCAGCACTTCCTTTGGAATGTCTTCAATCTTTTCCCCCTGAAACACAATAATAAAGCAAATGATCCAGTACCTTGTTATTAATATTAGAGCAACCATAGGGCTTTTGCTGCCTAGTAGACAGTATCATGAGTCCTAGTGTGGCACTGTGGGTTTATGTGCTGGACTGCAAGCAAGGCCAGTTTGAACCGCAAGGTCAGTGGTTCAAGTTCACCAGCCGCTCCTTGGAAACCCTATATAGGGGTTGCTATGGGTCAGAACTGACTTGATAGCACTTAACAACAGCAACAGGCATTACCGTATCAAAAACAAGGGCTCTTCCTATAAAGACAACCAGCTTTGTCCAAGGCTGCTGACCAAACTGACACTTAGGGAAGACTGATACCAGCTTCAGTCTCTACTGGCTTAGTACTCCTCTGTCCCTTCCCCTTTCCTCTACTATTACTCTATGAGTTACAATAAGAAAGCCTCTAAGAAATGAAATTAGCTGTTAAGAAATCATAATGAGATCTGTGCAGAGACCTTCTTGGAATCAATGTGTCCCAGGATTACATGAGCATTATTTTTAATATATTTATCTGCTTAACATAAAAAAACAAAAAACAAAAAACAAGGGCTCTTTAGTTGGCGCACAGCACAGTAAAAAAACAAAATAAGTTTACTATGTCCATTGTGGGAATGGGAATGTTTATTTAAACTGAAGGTAGTACTTAGAGGAAATACTCAACATTTCATTGTTGGTGTTGTTAAGTGCCATCATGTGGGAAAATGAAGGATATAAAAGGAAAAAGTGCCTAATATAAGAGGACTTCAAAAAGTTCTTGGAAAAAATAGAATGAAAAGATAATGGAATTTTTCCATGAGCTTTTTAAAGTCCCTTGTATTAATAGTAATTTGGTCTGAGTAATTTTTGTTCATTTTCTTCTATATTCTTATTTCTAGAAATCTTGCGGGCAAGGTTTTTTAGACAACTGGAAATCCTGTATTTGACTTTTTTCCCCCTAACTTTTTATTGTGAATTATTTTATATTCAAAAAATCGCACACTCTGTTTCATCTCAATGACTGTAATCTCCTCAATAAAACATCAACTTATCCCATTTCGTCCCTGTTTTTCTTATTTCAATTTCTGCTTCTGTTCCAACCTTTCTGAACCTTGTCCTTGGGTTAATGCTACTATTTTGATCACAAATGGTTAGCCATTCTATGGTGTGTGAACCTTACTAGTGTTGTCCTCTACATATACCTATCTATTGCTTGGCTGAAAATGGAACCATGAGGACAAGCTCAGCTCCAGACATGAAGAGTGACCAAGAGCCATAGTCTCAGTGTTCCACCAGTTTCCATCTGACCAGTAAACCTGGCTTTTTTTTTATTATTGAGTTTTGTTCCACATGTTCTCCAATCTTATTCATGGCCTTCTAATGTGATCCACTTCAGAGGAGTTGATGGTGTAGCTGCCACTATCGAGTTCTTCTGTTCTCAGGGTCAAAGAGAATGATGTTCACATGGCCTATTAGTCCACTGAACTATTTCCAAGTGATTACTAGAAGTCATCTTAGTTGTGGTCCGTACAATATTCCTTTCAAATAAATAATCTGAGGTTCTGGTTTTTAAACATCAGTCATCTTTCCTCAGTTGTAATCAGGAAGAAAACATTTTGTGTATTAGATCTCAATCCTTCTCCATAATAGCTTCCATTATCTCTCAGGTAAATCCCTTAAACTGTACTTCACATTTCTGAAAGTCTTCCTCAGAAGCCTTATAGAGTTTGATGAAGTTCTTTACACTCCTAACCAGGGAAATCCCATGACTACTTTTATACTTTTATAACCTGAGCAAAGGTTATACAGTACATTGTTCAGAGAGAGAAGCTAAAGGAAAGAAACCAAAGGACATTCCAGAAGGTTCTTTCTACAGAAATATATTCCCTGAACAACCAGGCTACCTTTGAATGTGCTTCTAATGGTCATGATTTAATACTATAAGGGTGGGGGAAAATATTTTTTTTTAAAGAAAAATAAAGCCAACAAGAAGGATTAAAATATTTTCTGTCAAGTTTTACAACAAAAAATAAAAATCAGAATTTGAACACACAAATAATAACATTGATTCTTTTTCTCAATATATACTGTACATGAGGGAGCTTCAAAAAGTTCATAGAAAACTGGAATGAAAAGATAACGGCATTTTTAAAGCCCCCCCCAGAAAAGTTAAAGCTTGGTAAATTGAGCAATTAATCCCAAAGAATAATTTTCATCCCTGATACGAGAGCAAGTAGAAGTCAATTCAGTACTGGTTCCACCTAGGAATGGGAATACAGAAACACTTCTATCTGGAAATAAACTATTACACCTAACTAAATATTTTAGATAAATTATGTTTATTCGATTACATTTCTAATTTAAATAGTTTTAAGTGAGAATCTCCCAAATATGTAAATTTGACCAAAAAAATAGTGATCTCAGTATATCACTATTTTAAAGACATTATCTCATCCTACACATTTCCTTGACCACTTAAAAAACTCTGAGTTTAACAGCTTCTTGGTAATAGGAGGGGGTTTCAGAAAGTTCATGAAAAAATTCTTCTTTTAACTTCATTTTTTCATGAACTCTTTTAAGCCCCCTCCTATGATATCACCACTATGAATAGCATCTATTACATTGGGCTATATGATGATACCTTCATAGGACTCTAAAATATGGAGAAAACTGTGAACCCTAGACTAGATAAATAAAAGCAATTTTTTTTTTTTTTTTTTAAAGCTACCATAGAAGAATCCTGATAGGGAAAAAATACAGAATTCTCAAATCCATATGAACTCTTTATTATGTGGAGGGTAGATGACCCCCTAAAACTATTGTCTTGAGATAATCTTTAAACCTTAAACCAAAAATATCCCTTGGTGTCTTCTAAAAACCAAACAACAGCTTAGCTTCACTAACTGACAGGTCTCCCCTTAAGCATTATGCTCTTCTAAGAACTATCCTTATGGGATAAAATTGACAACAGCAACTCAAGAAATGAGACAGGAACCCAAGGGAACAGTGAGTGTATGTTAATGAGGGAGCAAGGACTCAGGAAAGGTGAGTGAGAAGGGTTGCGCAGCTCAAAGCATGTAATCAAAATCACTGACTTGTACCTGTAGAAACCTTGAACTGGTGCATGCTTTGCAATGTTTATACTAAGTAACAAAACAAAATCAACAAAATTTAGAGAGAGAGGAAAGAGAAAAAAGCCTTTATGTGAGATTTTTCTGAGTTTCTAAAATCAATAAAGCCCTGGAAAGAACACTACTAAATATCTATCAGCTTCAAGGTTTGAGTCACACTCAACTGAATCTAACAAAAACAACCTAAATTGCACTTAGCATGTACCAGGTATTCTTTTAAGTGTTTAAAATATGCTAACTCACTTAGTCTTTATAACAACACAGTAAAAATGGTACTTAAGTGCCATCAAGTTGGTACTGACCCATAGCAACCCTGTATAGGGTTTCCAAGGAGCGTATGGTAAGCTTGAATTGCTGACCTCGTGGTTCAAACCGACTTGGCAGTCCAGCGCATTAACCCACAGCACCATACCAGGAGCAGTTCTACTACCTTCCTTTTACAGATGAGGAAACAAACAAGCACGAAAGTTTTGTCATTTGCTGAGCCACACAGCTAGTAAACAGCAGAACCAGGGCTCAAATCCAGCAGTCTTGACTCCAGTCTGTAATCTTACATGACTTAGTCTTAGTGAATCTCCAAAACTTCATTGGGACCTACCAAGTAAAAAGCACTACACTATATAGTTATTACAGGAGAACAGTCATACACGAGATCCCTGAAGAGCACAAATTTTCTAATTGAGCACGTTATGCGCTTCCAAAAGAAAACTGAAATTAAACTTCTAATCAAACAAGTAATTGTGGTGGTAATGTTAACTTAATTAGATGCAAAAAGACTACCACTACCACTATTATTTCAATTTGTTGACACTGCAGAACCCAAGGAAAACATTTTATTTTGCACCAGAAGGAAATTTGTAACACCATACTCTACTTTCCCTAAATTAAAATCATTTCAAAATGGTAAGAGGTTGCTAGAATTCAGAATTTCACTCCAGCAGAGTTCACAATCCTCTTTTCCTTTACAATCCATAAATTGTGTCATTAAATATGGGGCACAATGCTTATCCTTGCTAGTAAATTAAGAAGTGAAAATCATAACCACAGTGAGGTAGCATCTTGTATTTATTAAGATGGTGAGAAAGATTCTTTTTTGTTTAAAGTTATAAAATACCAAAACGTTTTGAAAAACTTTTGAATAGCTGAAAGCATTGTAAACTAGCATAATACTTTCAGAAGTCAATCTGGCAAAAGGTAGTTTCCAAAATATTTTTTACCTTTTGACTCAGTAAATCCATTTCTAAAAATTCCTCTAATAATTCAAAAACAAAGAAAAAAGTATTTCACTAAAAAGCTATTTGTTAGAGATGCATAATGCAGAAAAACTATAAACATTCTACATATCACAAGAGTTTTCATATTAGTTGTGGTATATTATCAATATAGCTAATCAAAATAATAAATGTGAAAATAGTATCATAACGAAAAAGTTTATAAACTATCACTTTAAAAAATAATACAATCAACCAGGGGGGCTGAGAATGTAATGTAGATAGAGACAAAAGAAAAGTAACTGACTTACAAGTGTACAACCTCCCTCACTGAAAAAAGGGTGGAAAAAGAAAAGCTTACAAGTAACTGTGGAAAACTGTTCTGACTGGAAACGATACAGACAGAAAGAACTGTACAGAAACACTGTACTCTAGTTGATAAAGCTGTTTCTCATGAAGATACAGGTTAATAATTCTAAAACTACTTACATGTACACTGGAGTCAAATAAATAAGAAAATGAATGGTAGATGGTAGGAGCCAGGTTTCTCACTATAGAGAGGGAAGTTACAGATAAGCAAGCTGGAAGATGGAAATTATCCATGTGATGGAGACATCAGTATGAACTCATAATTAGCTTAATTTGGATCTAGAAACAATTGTTGATACTTATATATTCATAATTTAGCTCTAAGACATAATGCTAGGTAAAGTGGAGGGTCAGCGAAAAAGAGGAAGATTCCCAATGAGATGGATTGACAGACACAGTGGCAACAACAACGGGCTCCACATGACAATTATGAGGATGGCACCAGACCAGGCAGTGTTTTGTTCTGCTATGGAAAGGCTGGATGAGTTAGAAATGACTCAACAGCACGGAACAACAACTGAGAAAAAGCCTAGAAGCAATGACACTTCAGTAACAACATGCACACTCAGATCCCAGATCTTGATTTCGAAATACCTTTCTCCAAGACAAGGAAACAAGCTTCTTTGGAGACAAAGCTGGGCAGGGAAAATACCAAACGAGCCTGGAACACATTATAGTGCCAGAAAGAATGTGCTCAAAAAACAAAAGCATGGGGATGTATCAAAGAAACACAGGGGTCACACTGAAAGAGCTCCCAATGGCAAAAGCTGGAACCAAACAACATAGTACTAGATTATGACCCAAAGTATAAACGAAATACGAGGGGACTTCAAAAGTTCCCAGGATGTATGAGACCACAGTTGCAAAAACTGAAGAAAAGGCTTTCTTTCTAAAAGAACCATTCTATGATGGTGGCCAGGAGTGGGAGGGAAGGGAAAATTATTCACTGGGTAGAGGGTAGACATATGTTACTTGGGTGATGGGTAAGGCAATATACAAGAGGGAGGTTAGTACGAGAAAGTTAAAGGTAGTGGAAGATACAGGGAGAAGTATTAGAGGTAAATACTGTTAATGGATGGTACATGAAGGGGATTGCAATCATTGTAATGACACAAAATGTGTGACTTGTTGAATGTGGGACTGATGGTATGCTTCACTCAGTTCACAATGAAAAGTTAAAAAACAAAAAATTCATGAGAATATTCTATTATCTTTTAATTCCATTTTTTCAAGATCTTTTTGAAGCTCCCTCATATACAAGCCCATACCAGTAGAAATGGATGACTTCCTCAGGGAATGAGCACATACTGATTTGGGTCTTATTGGTGGTTTGGAGTCAAAATCTAAGAACTTCCTATGAATAAATGAGCTGGGGAGAGGAGATAAATATTCTTTACATATGTATTCTAATTAATGAATACACATACTCCTTCAGCACTGTAGGATAAGCACTGGACTGTTATCACAAGGTTGGCAGTTCAAATCTACCAGCTGCTCCCTGGAAACCCTATATAGGATTGCTATGAGTTGGAACTGACTCAACAGCACTTAACGACAACAGCTCTAGAAAGTGAAATTTAACTCCATAACCCTTTCTCCTTGAGTTTAAACTGGATTTAGGGACTTCATTTCACATGATAGAGCATGAAAGATGGATGAGGGTTGGGGGAAAGCAACTTTACGGTGGAGACATCTGGCAAGCAAGCCTAACCCCACCAGTGAGATTATGTTGGCCCACACACTCCTACTGTGATTAGAGGGCACTTCTACAAAACACCTGACCAGCACTTCTCAAAATCATCATGGTCTCCACAAACTAGGAAAGACTAAGAAACTGTCAGAGACCAGAGGAGATCAAAGAGACACAATGACTAAACGTATTGATACCCTGAGAGCAGATGCTAGAACACAAAGAGGACATTCATGGAAAAGAAAATTCAAAAACTTCTGGAGTTAATAGTAATGCACCAATGTTGTCAGTTTTGACAAATGTTCCACTGTAGCATAAACTGTTTCAGTAGGGGAAACTGGGAGACGGGTACAGGGAGATGCTCTGAATAATCTCTTCAACTTTTCTATAAATATAAATTTATTCTAAAATAAAACTATTTATTAAAAAAAGGAACACATATAACTATATATACACTCTGTGATTCAACTAAACCCCCTATCATTTTCTCTAAATTCATGCTCTCAAGCTTTGATATAATTGTTCTGCAAGTCTCCTAGGCTCACAACACTTACTACACTTTTTATTGTAAACTGAGTGAAGAGTTACACAGAGTCCAGGTGTGGCACTATAGGATAAAGCACTGAACTGCTAACTGCAAGGTTGGGAGGTCAAACCCACCAATAACTCCTCGGAAACCCTAAACAGGGACCCCATGAGTCGGAAATGACTGGATGGCCTGTCAAGTCGGTTCCAACTCATAGTGAACCTGTATACGGTTTCCGTGGAGCAGATGGTGAATTTAAATTGCTGACTTTACAGTTCAAACTGACCTTGTGGTCCAGTGTTGATCCTACAGCACCATACCAGGACACCTATGTATGTGTGCTTTTATAAAAGACCGATTAGAAAAATCCTGGTGCTATATCATAAAAACAAACCCAACCCAATCCACTGCCATAAAGTTGACTCTGACTCATAGTGCCCATATACAGGGTTTCTGAGATTGTGTATCAAAGATGTAGCAGACAGTCTCATCTTTTTCTCTCTGAGCAGAGGGTAGATTTGAACCACCAACTTTGCAGTTAGCAGCCCAACTCTTAACATACAGTGCCACCAGGGTTCCTTATATTACAAGGAAACATTAAATCTTTTCCTTTATTACTCTAGTGGTTTTCAAAAATACATTGTAAATCTCCCCCCCAGTAAAAGACCCTGATAACTGGGAACATCTGCCTTCAGTGAGACAGGAAAATTGCAGGAGTCTGAGCAACAGTAACCACAACAAAATCTCTACTGGAGAAGACAGAAAATTCAGTAGTGCTCAATGAAATGAAAGGAAGAATCAGATGCAACAGACTTAAAGGGCAGGACAAGGCAGCGCTTCTAAGCTGGAAAATGTGTAATGTGTTCTCTTTTTTCAAGTCTCAGAAATCACCCAGAATTTCCCTTAGTGATTTCCTAAGTTGGGAGAGGACATCTCTTCATTTGCTCAAATTTTTAGACTCTTGAACATATGTATTTCTTTAAGCAATTTAACAGCAGAATAAGGAGGAAGATCCATCTGGTGCTTATCATTAAAGAAAAAGTTAGGATTCCATGTTTAAATCCAGTTACCTTATGTAATCGAAGGTATACATGAGCCGAAGAGAGTTTGTCCACATGAAACCTACAAAGAATGAAAACCACTTTTAGCAAGAGGTACAAGATAACCATCTCCTAAGGCCACTTGCATTTAAAGCAATCGAATCCAAAAAGTATTCCTCAACACCTACCATATTCTAAACACCATGGGGAGTAAAATATAGTCTCTGCTTCCAAAGTGCTCATTTTCAATTTGCATAAGCATAAGTTATGCAGCAATTTATGATTAAGCATCAAGCTGAGTAGTGGTGGTGGTGGTGATGGCTGTGTGCCATGGAGCCAGTTCCGAATGGCAGGGTTTTTGAGGCTATAAATCTTTACTGGAGCAGAAAGCCTCATCTTTCTCCCGCAGAGCAGCTGATGGATTTGAACTGCAGACCTTCCAGTCCGATGCATAACCCACTAGCCATCAGAACTCCTTAAGATGCATAGTTGTTGTTAAGTGCCACTGAGTCGGTTCCGACTCATAGGACCCTATGTAGGGTTTCCAAGGAGCAGTTGGTGAGTTTCAACCACTAATCTTATGTTTCAAAGTAGAGACATTAAATACTAAATGTCTAGAGAAGGGAGAGTTTTCAAGGGATGAAAAGCTATCAGTAACCAAAGGCTTCATGGAAGAACTGAGATGTGGTATAGTACTTAAGAGATAGAACAAGGAAAAGAATTTCCAAAAAGAGGAGGGAATGAAAGAATCAGAGAGACTCCAGTATTATAAGCCTAGGAGATTTGCAGGACCACTGACAGAGTTATATCAAAGCTTGAGGGCATGAATTTAGAGAAAATGATAAGGGGTTCAGTTTGAGACATCCTGAGTTCCAACTGATGGCAAAAACAGTACCAAGAGAATCAGAACAATTTGAAGAGTTGGAAGAACTAAGCCAGAATTAAAGGCATTGAGCAGGACACATTATAACTTGAGTCAGATCAGCAATTCATCTAGCCCTGTATTCTGACAAAGACATTCTCCTATATGTCTCCTGGGAGAACACGTAATTACCCTTTGATACTGCCTTACAAATTTCGAAATGCCCCTCACCATATAACCAGAATTTGCCTTTCATTAAAGTTCCATCCACCAATTTAACTAAATATTACATGTTTGCAACTTGTTTCATCTTATCAAACATAAGGATATTAAGATTTTCATGTAGTAGTGTAGTGGTTACGAATCAGGCTGTGAACCTCAAGGTCAGCAGTTCGAAACTACCAGCTGTTCCGTGGGAGAAAGATGAGGCTTTCTGCTCCCATAAAGATTTACAGCCTAGGAAACTCTGTACAGGGTTGCTATGGGTCGGAAGCGACTCCACGGCACACTGAACAATACACCAAATAAAGTTGACTTTCTCTTTCCAACATGCAAAGATATACCCAGTGTCCTAGCATCAAGCAACAAATTAGGTTACCACATGACTGTCACTTTGTGATTCTGTCATATCCCTTTTCCTTAGTCCATACCTTGACAAAGTAAAGAATTTTTCACTAAAACCCTAAAATGGAATCATTACATCCACTATGCATTTCTCTATTCCTAGTATTAATGCATTCCTTAGAAGTGAAAATTCTCACATACCAATATACAGTACAAGATGGAGACAGTGTGATTCTATGTACAGGTCAAGACTGGGCTGATGTCTAACACCTTGTTTAAAGAGGTTGTTACTCGTGGCCATCAATTCTGACTCGTGGTATTAGCATCTGGCTATTCATTTTTCGCTATGGGTCAGCACCGACTCGACGGCACTTCACAACAACAACACATTCACTTTCAGTAGTGGGCATTTTTGGAAAAGTCTATGACTCTAGGGTTCTAGTCTTAATTATTACTGATTACCACCTCCACCACCCAAAAAAGAGAATAACACCTTAACTCATTTCTCCAAGTGGTTCATGTACTCATCTGTTTTCCCACGTGAAAGATTTCTGATTATCACACTGAATTTGAAAAAAAGAAATGATACATACATGTTTACCACAAAGACAAAAAACCAACAACAGTAGTTTTCAAGTCCCACAAAGCTGGGTCATTTAACTCCTTAAAATGGGACCTGTGAAAATACAACTCACCAGGGAGCTTTGAGGCAGAAAATGCATACTACACTTCTATATTCCCTCATTTAAAGTTGACTTTAGTTTCAGTCACACTGGATCCTAGGAAACACCCAACTTAAAGGAGCCTTTGGAGGTTTGCTGGGGGGAAATTCTGTTTACCTGAGTTTCCTCTGAAATTTCATAGATAAAATTTTAAAGTCTGTATCAGAGTGAAGCAGATTAAAAGTCAGCCCTGTAATGTAGTTAGATTCCTGAGTCGTCCTTAGCAATCCAAGGAACATTTCCAGGCTAGACAGTACATGAATTGGAACTGGTCTTGATGATCTGAGGCTATTCCTAGAAACTACGGTGGTTATTCTGGCTTAAAACAGATCTAAAATAGCTTCTGAAAGAAAAATTCAATTACTTTAGATAGTATTCATTAATCTAAACATTTTATATTGAAAAAGTCAAACCTGTTGCTGTTGAATCGATTCTGACTCTGAGCAATCCTACAGGGCCAAGGAGAACTGCCCCACAGGCTTCTAAAGTGATCAACTTTATGGAAGCAGACTGCCATATCTCTCTCCCTCGGAATGGTTGATGGATGGATCTGACCTGCAGAGCATTCAGTTAGCAGCCAAGTGCTTGACCACTGAGCAGCTACTAAGGCTCATTGACTTTGTATTAAAGAGTATCAAAATGAATGACTAGGAGTATGTCAGCATCTATTCAGTAAATACCATTCTGGAAATCTGACCCATGTACCAGATCCTACGCTAGGCATCAAAAATACAAAACCATAAGCCAAACCAGTTGCCACTGAGTCAATTTTGACTTATGGTGACTCCAGGTGTAACACAAAACTACTCCATTGGGTTTTCAGGACTCAACCTTCCAGAAGCAGATCACCAAACCTTTTTTCTGGGGTGCCTTGGGTGGGATCACACTGTCAACTTTTCAGTTAGTGGTAGAATGCTTAACTTTGTACACTACCCTGAGACTCCATACTGAAAATATACAGTGACATCTGTGAAATCCAGAACTTGGTGGCACTTTGTTTTTCTGGGTCTTGCAATCACCACTTATCCATCTCTCCCTATTTAGTGGGAAATATTTTCACTTTCCGTCTCTGACAGGTTCCTGCCTTAAACAGGTTTGGACTTTCACAAATAGACCAAACAGGGAGGTCCTAGGAAGGTAGGATCTCCCAGTATAAGAAGTTCTCTGCACTGCAAAGTATAGAAGCTCTCTGCACTGCAAACTGCCCACTTGAGGGTACATCAATAGTTTCTACTTTGATGACCTCTGAGTTTAGAAAATGGGCCAATGTACTGGAATGGTGGCAAATTGGAAGAAAAGAGAAAAAGCCTTTAAAATTCCTCAGGTTTCTGAGGTCTCCTGGTTACTGGGGTAGACTGGAGAGAACAGAAAAAACATTTCTAAAGGGGCCAATGAACTAGCCCGTTTATAATGGGATGTTGTTGTTGTTGTTAAGTACCGTCGAGTCGGTTCCAACTCATAGTGACCCTGTACAGGGTTTCTGAGGCTGTAAATCTTTACGGGAGCAGAAAGCCTCAACTTTCTCCCGTGGAGCAGCTGTTAGTTTCGAACTGCTGACCTTGCGGTACGCAGCCCGATTCGTAATCACTACGCTACCAGAGCTCCTTTTTTATAATGGGATAGGCTGGAACAATAGGATGCACCCTTTAGGGAGTCCCTGCAGAAAGAACTCAAGGTTCTCTCAGCATGGCCACATCGAATGCTCGTGTAAATTAATTTCTGTATAATATTTCCTTTATTAAATGCTCACTACTATATACCTGGTATGGCACTGTGGGTTAATGCACTGGATTGCAAAGTCTGTGGTTCAAGCTCACCAGTTGCTCCTCAGAAACCCTATACAGGGTGGCTATGGGATAGGACTGACTCGACGGCACTTAAAGTAGCAGCAACAACTATGTATCTTATTAGAAATTCAATAAACTCTGGAAAAATGGAAGCCTAACTTCTGCTACCAAGAGTTAAGAAAAGGCCTGGGCCCACATTTAGAAAAGAGGTTCAGAAAGTAGCAGCAATGGCCTAAGGGAAGCAAGAGGTGACCTGCAGTCAAGCAAGTAGCAGCCTGGGGAAAGAGCAAAGCCATGATTTAAAACCACAGCTGGTTAGGGGGCCAGTAACAACAGGAGAAGGTCTGCTCAGTTTCTCTGAGCCTTAGTTTCCTCATCTGAAAACTGGGAATAGCGGTGCCTATTTCATAAGAATGTTAAGATTAAATATATTAATACAGGTAAACAGTATGTGGTATAACGTAATTAAGCATACAATATATGTTCACTATCAGGGGAGTGCTGTGGCTCTATAGGATAAGCACTGGACTGCTAACCACAAGGCTGGTGGTTGAGCCCACCAGCTGCGCCTCATGAGAAAGATGAGGATTTCTGCTCCCACAAAGTGTTACAAGTCTTAGAAACCCTATACAGTCCTATGAGTCAGAACTTAACAGCACTTAACAACAGCATTAATGTCATATTAGAGCAAATTGTTGTTGTTGTTAAGTGTCATCAAGTTGGTTCCCCATTCATAACGACCCTGTATATGGTTTCTGAGGAGCAGCTGGTGCGTTTGAACTGACCTTGCAGTTCCAACCAACCTTGAGAATTGTTTAGTGCTATGAAGTCAGTTTTAACTCACAGTGACCCTATATAGGGTTTCCAAGGAGCGGCTGGTGAGTCTGAACTGCCAGACTTGTGGTTCAAACCGACCTTGTGGTTCAATGCTTTCTCCTACAGCGTCACACCAGGACTCCGACCTTGTAACTAGGAGATCTGTATAGTTATCTTCAGGGTAGCATTTGGTAAGGAGTGTTATGAGCTTGGAAAGTGATAGGCAGGATTAGGCCTCAGAAGAGAAACATTGCAAGGGTCAGTGAGTGGTAGAAGCTGAAGAGACAAAAAGCAAACGGAGTCCGAAAGCATTACAAGAAGAAGAGAGTACCAGGAGCCTATGCATGCCTCAAAGGTCTTAGAACTAAGTCGGGAAAAAAAAGTATGATGTTCTGAGACAGGGGTCCTTATAGTTTGTTTTGTTACTGGTGCTATGTTTAGGACTGGGTTTAGAAAGCAGCTCAATTAAACAGTCTCAGAAGGAGACGATAAAAGTATATATATTATTATATTTCCAATTTCCATGAATTATTTTTAAAAGTGGCGGCAAAGCTGAATCAAGACAGGACTAAACTGATTAGGGATTTTAGAAGATATTAAAGGGAAGTCAGTATGTTTCTTTTAAAGCTGGATCTGGTCAAATGGTGCATCTATCTCTTCCACTGCATGGATGCTCGTATCTATTCTTCACTGTGTCTGGTATTTACTCAAGAAATGGCTCTAAAATGTAAGTGGGATGTCTCAATAACTTACTACAAGGAGACAAAGAGGAGGTAAAAGAACGTCTATGTTCCAGAGATCTTTGCTCTCAGGCCTGAGGTTTATCAGCACTATGATTTATACAGTAATTATAAATGAAAGGAGCTAACAGATATTTACTGCTGAACACCCCATAAACAAAAATCCAAAGTTCTAGTCTTGATTGACAGGATAAGTCACTCAGCCTCAGAAAGCAAATGACCATCCAGAGAAAGCAGAAGCCAAACTGTTACTTACCAAATATCTTCAGGCCAGCCATACTTTATTAGATCTTCATCTACAGTGAGACATGAGAACAGAGAAAGATCAGGAAAATTGTCAAATGAAGATATACCAAAGTTTCTAGAAAGATGGGAAGGGAAGGAATACCAACCCCTTCCACAACTTTTTCCTTCCTCTGCTTCACAGAGAAGACAGCATTTCAAAGAGGCTTTGATACTGGAAAATTCAAAACACTAAAAATCGTATTTACAACTGGATAAGATAAACTTCATAATTCTTATAATAATAGCGCCAATCTAAAATTCAAAGATATTTATATTTGAAGATAAGAACTCCAACAAATCAGAGAAGCTGAGAAATTTAAGACTGTAGTAATATGTATATGTTACAGGGGTTTGGCTAAAACTTCAGAAGTATGAATTGCCTTTTATTTTTAAAAAAAAGGAACTCTCAACTATAAAATTGTAAATAATAATAATAATAATAAGGGAGCAAAACAAATGCCAGACCAAAATAAATTAAAATCACCAAAAATTCTGTCATTTATGGAAATCAAATTTCAGATGAAACAGCTAGAAGAGTTCATAATTCTCTCTGAAGGGTGAGACATGGGTGTTGGGAAGGAAGAGGTATGGAATTGTTTTTTAATGATAAGCCTTCTATTGCTATTTGGGAGACCTGGCGGAGCGCTGTACAATAAGCACTCAACCGTAAGATCGGTTTCAACTGCAAGGTCAGTGGTTCAAACTTACCAGCTGTTCCTCAGAAATTCTACACAGTGTCACTATTAGTCAGAACTGATTCGACAGTATTTAACAACATTACTATTTGACTTTTTAAATTATGCACTTGTTGTTGTTGTTCTTGTTGT